CTGCCCTCCGGGTTCCTCCAATTAAGTATGGCACAAGAAGTCTCGCAGCAGGAAAGAAACAGAAACATTTCATCTGAATTTCCTGGGCTTTGAGGTGGGAAAGTGAGAGCTAGTCCATGAGTGCAGTGACCCACACAGCCAGAAGGGGGGAGCTGGAAGAAGGCAGAAATGATTAAGTTGTGATGTTAGCTCATTGTTAAAAAGGTTATAAAACATGACTTATTACAACCCATGTGAAACAAGAGGCCTAAAACAAACAAATTCAACCTTTGGAATTACCAAAGTTAATAATTTACTTGTGTAAAAGAATTGGTTGAAACTGTCTTTTTTTTTTAAACAAATTCTCACCCCTCAGAATAAGCTTCAGCAGGGCTGTTAGTCCAGGTGAGCTAACAGCACCCAGTATGGGCATTCAGCCCAGGTCCCTTGCAAAAAAGCAATTATCAGGACTCCCCCATGGTTGCAATTTTGAGACCCTCTTAAACCCGCCCACTGCCATCAAGTGGATTCTGACTCATAGCGACCCTAATGCAGGGATTCAGAAGCTGTCAATCTTTACGGGAGTAGATAGTCTCATCTTTCTCCCAAGTAGTGGGTCCGAACTGCCCACCTTGCCATTAGCAGTCCAAGATTACCCAACAGCACTGACAGGGCTCCTTGAGACGCTCTCAAAGAAGACTCTGACTCTGTGGTCCTCGACTGGCACAGGCAGCATAGCTTTACAAGGAAAAAAAAACATTACCTGAACTTTGGTGGGTAAGTGGACTGAGACCTGTAATTCCTAAGAACTCCAATTCGCTGATTTGTTTCATACAACCAGACTTGAAAGAAGTATCATCTTAAAGATTTGGGTGCCACAGCAAATTAGTTTAGAATCAGATGCTCACCTAGCTATCAAAAAGAATAGAGTTTGGGATCTTAAAAGGTTGTCTTCAGGCAAGCAGCCAGCTAAGTGACAGGTCAACTATAGGCACACGAAAAGAAGCACACCAACCTATGTAATCCAAGGATTAAAGACAATAAAATAGAAATCTGAAGGAGGGAATGGTATCAGAGCTTGAATTGTGAATACCTGGCTTACAGAAGGCTATGCAGGACAGCAGAACCCCAAAACCCCTTTGCAGGGCCCCCACATGGATGCAGCCTCCAGTGGGTCCCTCTGAGCAGTCCAGGGACGT